CGCTCACGGCGGCTGCTGGCTGGCTATTCACAGTAGCCCATGGCAACCCACTGCCACAGGGGCTGCAGCCTACGCCGTCACCGGCGACTCATGGCAGCCCAGCTCCAGGTTGAGCTGTTGTTCAGCATCTTAGCTGTGGGGGGCCGTGTCACTGGCCCTCATATGTGGGATCCGAACCGGGGCCCTCTGGCGTCCCAAGCCAGTTCTTAACCATCGCACCACTCGGCCGGCCCACATTTACTGACCTTTTGTCAAAAAATCTTTTTCCTGAGAGTTTATAGACTGATGAACACTTACATGACACGATTAGAGGAAGCTCAACATTCATGATGACTGGTTCTTACTCTGCCTTTTACCATTATAGTTTTTATATACTTACACTGATTACCCCTGCTCTAAATCTGCCTTTCCCCTATTAGGAAATTAATTTCAGAAACATTGTTTCTTCTCAACAGTGTAAAAATTATCAGATACAAAAACTAATCCAGTGTGTTGTCGGTGGCCAGAAGGGTAAAATATATAAATGATTTCTCATTAATTTAAAAAAGAGACACAAACTGTTTACTCATTAACTAGCTCTTCATGTAGCAGAGTTTTGATTGAGTACAAGAAACACTTCCCTATTTTTATAGTTTTTAATTTTTGTACCTTTTTTTTAAAGTCGGCTTCCCCTTTTTCAATACAATAGCTTATTTCTAGTTTAGAAAAAAAATTCAGATTGAATAAATTCATGTGCTATGAAGGAAAGTGCATGGAATTGAAGCAAAAATAAACAAAAAAGTCTAAGTTAGTGCCCCAATTTTGCTACTTATTGCCTTTGTGATCATATAAATAAAACAAGTAAAATATGTGAGCCTCCATGTAAAATAGAAGTGTTAAGAGTACTTAGCTTCTAAGGTTTATTGTCAGATTTCAAGATTCAATGAGATGATGTGAAAATTAAATGAGATAAGGCACTTTCTAAACTGTAAAATCGTAAGAAAATTTAACTTAATAAAAATTACTAGAGAAGGGTCCAGGGGTACCTCTTGTTATTTCGTGCTACTGCATGTAATCAACAGTTATTTCAAAAAGTATAATTTTTAAAAGTTAACAAGATCCTATCCCTAAAGAGAAACAAAGATTGATTTTAAAAGAAAATGCCCTCTATATAAATTCTCAATATTAGACAACATTGCTGCCTACTTAGTATATCAAAATATTAGCAAAAAAGATCCATGGATGATTTTAAATCCTTTTCTTTCTGGTTACTAGATTAAATCAAGAGAACCTGGATTGATTGTTTAAATTTAGCCTCAGGTAAAGTATGACCACAGTGAGGTGGAAGATTGAGATAAAGGCACCAAGTCCAGATAGAGGCCATGAAAGAGAGGATTACCTTAGCCTTCATAAACTGGACAGACTCTGAAAGTCCTTAGATGACTTCTTTTATGTTTTTAAATATATGAGATATCAAAAATGAGATGAACTCATTTCTATTTTTATCAGCATTTATGATATACATAAAGAGATAGACTATCCACCCGTAAGATGAAGAAGACTTAAAGAGATCACATATGTGTTTATTTTTAATTTAGATAACCTTTTGTTTTTGGACTAACAATAGAAATTCATATTTTACAGAAGAAAAATTAAGGAACTAAAGACTTGCAACCCGTTTCTGATATTTATCTCCCAAACTGCCCTTTGCTTCTTCAGCTTGTGCAGTAGTACTGCTCCGGTACCTGGCCGTGAATTATATAGCCACAAACTGCTCCCATTATTACCTAATTTGGATTATATGACAAACATGATGGCAGTCCTCTGAATAATTTTTCATTTTTCCAGGAATCAAGCTCTAAAACTACCAGAAACAGTTATTACTAATAAACCAGTAATCAGATCTCTGACACTTGAGCCCCATCTGCTGGATAAGTGCTTGTTCCTAGAGCTGCTGCTTCCTCTGTCGGATTTTGTAGGTCACGCTACAGTTCCTCTTGCCCAACCTCCTCAAGGAGAACTAGCTCTCTCGGCAGGGTCAGACTAGGTGGCTAGCAACTCAGATGTCATACCAGTGGCAAGAAGATCTCCATTTGTAATGATTACCCAGTTATTTATGTACAAAGGAATATTTATATAAAATACTTTAAGGAGGTTAATTTTCCATTTCTTTAAAGAGGAACTCTTATTCTTAAAGCACAATCTGAAATGAAGACCTGCCTAGCTGTATTATAGAGCTTCTGAAATATTAATATATGATGAATATTTTGGCCAGATATATATAATTTTACTTCAGGTATTTTAAGAATGACTTTTCTAAGTGGAAGGCCCTAATCGGAATCTACATGTGTTAGCCAGTGACATGGACTGAGAACTTATCTGGGTCACATCCCACTGCTGCCTACTAAGAAGCTATATCACGTGTGATACAGGAAAGCCTTGTATTTGCACATATCACACATATGTATAGATGTAATACGTGCTTCTGTACATAATGTGAACTTGTACATAGTACATGTATAGATGAAGGCAGATGTGCCCTGACCTGAATGCTTCTAAGATGTTCCTCTGAGCTTGGAGGTAGTGTGCATACCCTTCCCTCAACATGTGTCCTCAGCGCCTAGTTCTTTGTTTAGAAAGGTGCGGTCCATACTGAGAGCACCAGGCCTCTGGGAAGACCTCCTGTGTGACCATAAAAGGTTTAGTCAGCTCCCTGGTGAACCAGGTGAAATACAAGGGACCTGCCTTACTCTGGTTTGAAGCAAGGACCAGACCGGATTCTTCAGGGTTTCCCACACATTTCCTAGGATTGGACTGCACGTATTACAGTCAGTACAGGAAGGAGGAAGTTGGATAGTACGAGAGGAGGGGACTGGGACAGGCCCTTCTTCCAAACACCACAAAGTCCCTTTCTATATCCTGCCTCTATAAACACGACAAGATTCCACGCACGTGTGTCCTCCTTGAGGCATGCGGACTCCCGCGGCTTTCTGTGCTCCTCTGGAACACACCTCTGATATAAATTGTGGGTGCTGAGCACATCAGTCTAACATCAGTTCCTTATGGAAAAGGACCACATCTTGTTTGTTTTAATGGCTACTTCACCCAATTCATTGCTTATATCCACTTATGCTTACCCAATGTTTGTTAAATTATAGATGATGAAATGATATTTAATATGTTTTATTTTATGAGGTTATTAAATCAGATTTTTATCTTTTCAGCAAACCATTCCTCAAGCTGCTGCAGCAAAATATCCCCGGACCATTCATCCAGAAAGTACTACCTCGGCTTCCAGATCTCTCGGAACCAGATCAGCTCACACCCAGTCTCTCACAAACATTCATTCCATAAAAGTGGTTGACTAAAATGAATATGTTCATATTAAGATCTTTTAATTCCTCTAGTTTTACCAAGGATTAAAAGTCTTTCATTTTTAAATTTTCCATATATTTAGAACATCATGGATACATCATGTTCATCTTTTCAAAATTACAAGAGACTTTTTGAAGCCATATCATCCTTTGTAACTATATGTAGGATTATTTTAATGTTATTTTTTTAATTTAAGCAATTAAGTAAAACTTTTTTAAATTAAAAAAGAAACTGGACTTTATTCTTTTAATAGTTTCAGCCTGTGACTGATTATATCATCAAAGTATATAAATCCTGTTTTTCTCTACATCATTCCAAAAGGCTAAATCATTTCTAATGTTACCAACTAAACTTTAAGAGGGTTTATTTTAAAAACTATTACAACTAATAGAAACTAAGATGTTTTTATTTTTAAGTTAAAAAGATAAAGACCAAGAGTAATAATAACTTATTACCATCGTATATTTGTCTTCATTTTTCTAGTAATCTAAGAATTAAAAATAGGGGGAAATGGCAATACCTATGAATAATTTTTAATGTTAAAAGGGGAAAAATATTTACTAGCACAAAAGCAGAGTTACAGAAACATCCAAAAGGAAATCTGCTATTAAGATGATCCTATTTCTGATATGCTTGCTTGTCTTGTAATAAACTGTACAGTTTTGGACTCACGTTGTTCTCTCTGAACATCCAAACAGTGTCCTGTGGTGGTGCAGCCCTGGGCAACTCTGCAAATCTTCCAAGCCTGGGTACACTTTTCAGTGGCCGGCCCATTGGAAGAAATCATCTGGGCAAAGCTGATCTAGGAGAAGACCAGGCTTCCAATGGTTTTATTGCTGGCTGACTGGGTTATCTTGGACCAGACAGTTTAAATGAATCTCAGGATCCTCATCTGTGAAACAATGAGATCTACCTATCCTACCTATTTCACAAAGCACTTGTGAGTTACATAAAAACGAGTAGATGCTGAAGAATCTGTTTAGGGCCTCTACTTCCATATCTTTATCAGAAGTAGATGGACTTAATCTGAAGCCTCTTCCAATTTGAACGTGAGCTAGCTCTGTGCTCTCACCGTATTATAGGTAATAATTTTTCTTACTGCCTTACATTATGAACAGGACATCAGAGAATAAATGTGAGATAGGCAAATATCTCATTTGGGGCACACCAAGGCTTTTCTGAATTATTAGAAGTATCTGGCCATGTCTTAGAGTATTCGATCCTTCTTATGCAACACTTGTTCTGGCCCATCTACCACTGGCAAACAGCTCCTTATGGGTTTCAACAAGCACAACCCAACAACACCTTATGTCCTGCCACCTGTACAGAGGGCGCACTCCCTCCACTCCCAGTGAGTCACAAGAGACCCGCAGGCTCCACCTACGGTCCACTCATATGCAGCCTGGAGTTCGCACCCCATTGTGGTGAATAGGTCTATTCTTCCTTTGTCCCTTGTACGAATTATCCTGAGATGCACTAGCCATCCCATCTCTCATCTCTCACAAGAGAGGACCCTCGAGGTCAAATAATCAGTTGTGCTTGATACCAAGTGGCAGCCAATTTGGTAATTCATTCCGGTCTTGGCTCTCCCTCCTTCCCATGCCACTCCCCCTTTGCTTTACTCCTGCTTCCTTGGATTTGCACTCCTGAAAAAAAGCAATGGCACATAAACTCTGGCCTGCTTTTTGAAAAACCTAGATTACAATTAGGAATGGTTTTCAGTATGCAACCTATAACCGTGTGGACAAACTGAAGTGAATAATATAAAAACTGGAATTAAGAATATTATATCTTTCTAAGCTTTAAGCTCTGGAAATAGTATAGTTAACTTAAATTCAACAATTAGAACACTTTATACCATAACAGTACGAGTATGTATTCATATTTATTTTTATATAGAGAGGTTACCCAGATTTTTGGAAGGGAGGGGCAAAGCAAGGTCAGTGAAAACTGGTCCTATTGAAGAACAGATGGGGACAAGACTTTTCACTGAATACCTCTGTTAAAAACTTTTGGAAATCATGTGAATATATTACCTGTTTTAAACATTCATAATATTAAGTGGGCCAAAGATGTGGAACTATAAATTCATGATTGAATAAATGGACTGAAATTGCTCATGATTTTATTTCTGGCCTTATAGACCTAGAGTCAAAATTTGAGAATGGAGAGCCTTAAAGTATAATAAATAGGTGCATATAAGCTGATATAAATTGGTATTTGATTACATATTTATTTAATAACTTTCTCCAATTATAAAAATAATACATGTTCATTGTGAAAAAAAATTGGAAAGTACAAAAAGGTACAAAGAAAATAAAAATCTCCTGTAACTAGATTACCAAGAAATAAAATATTGGTATATATACTTCTAGTCCCTTCTAAGTAATATATTCCACATATGTGTTCTTTAAAACCAACAGTGGCTATAAATTTCCAAAGCCAGTTTCCCTTAGAAGAGAAATAACAGTTAATGATGTCAATACTATGGGCATGAGGTTACGTATTTCACAGGCATTCTCCCTTCATCCTCACCAAAATGTTATGAAAGGGTAGACATTTCTTCCATTTTATAGAGAAGGAAATTGAAGACCTGGGAATTTGAATATTAGAATGCCCAAAGGCTCACAGCTAATAAGTGGCAAAAAAAACACGATTCAAAACCATTTATCCTAAAACCCTTGGTTTTCCCATACACCATGATGCTGCTCCCACCATCATATATTTTTAAAACATGTACAAAATCCTCCTAGATTATGCTCTCATATACATTGCATCAAATGACAGAAATGGGAAAATCACATACAGCTTACCTTAAGCAAAAACAAAAACATTTTTGACTTTTCAGTGGTTGGAAAAGAATAACACTATTTTTTCATCAGTTACAGGATCCTGTCACCACTATCTTCATATTTGAAAGGAAAATCAATCCTTCTTGAGGAACTTTATGGCATTAAAGGACGGAATTTACAAGGACTGAATGCTGAGTGGAAAATCATTTAAATACAATTTCTCTAGACATTTATGAAACTGCACACTTCTTGGGATTTGAGTCAGTTTCGCTTCTGAATTGACGGATCTTTTCTGGAAAAGACAGCATACATTTATTATTTCTAGCTAATGTTTATTATTAAGCACTTGCTATGTGCCAGACACTGTTACTCAATCCCACAACAGCCCTTTGGCGTAGACACTTTTCTAATTAATAAATGAGACTACTGGTACAATGAGTTACAGAACTTCTCAAGATCACACAGCCTGTTAGCACTGCAGTTCAGATGGAGGCCCAAAGCGCATGCCCTCACCACTCCAGAGGACTGCCTCGAGTCTCCCCTAGGAGTTCTTATGGCTATGCTTTCACAGGAACAAATACATTTAAAGTTTAGGGAACAACCCCAATGCTATGAGGATAATGCCACAGAAGGTAGGCATTCATCCATGCTCTATTTCCTGTACCTACTGCTGCTTGAAACTGAATATTGGATCAGTGGTCTGATTCATGCATTTATGTTCTGCGTTTCAGGTAAAGCTGTATCATGTTGATAATGGCAGATGTTTCTCTATGTTGCTTGAACGGTTTTTATTACATGCAAGTTATAACACCACCTAATTTACTGATAAGTTTTCAAAGCATCTTCCTGACAATATGATCTTTGGCAGAGTGATTTTTAGCAGGAATCTCAGCTGGTAAAGTAATAGCTTATTTGCTCTTTTCTCTCAACCTAGAGATAACATTTTCAAATACATGAAGTTGCAGTTTCCCAACAGGGGCAAAATGGCATTTGGAGCAAGACAATTCTTGGTTGTGGAGAACTATGCTATAACCTTGGACATGGTTCAGCACCCCTGTCTCCCTCTCACCTTCCCCGCCCTCTCCTGCCCACACAGGCACATAAACAAAAAGACTCTTATACTTTTCCAAATGCCCAGTAGACGACACTGAGAACCACAGTGGGGACCAGTTCTGACTGAGTCACTCACCACAGGGGAAGCTGCATATCCTGATCGAGCCCCAGCTAACACCAAGCTAGGACTGCTCTTTTGAGGGTAGGATTATTTCTGTCGACCGTCCCCTAACATTGTAAGGGAGCAGGAGTTTCTGTTTATTAAAACCTGTAACTCACCAGCTAGTTCTGGGAAACCTGCGCGTACCAGCTCTTCGTACAGATGCTTTCCCGGCACGTCTTGCGTCATCAGGGTCCCATGCAGCCAGATGAGCAGAGCCCTGTGGCCATGTTCACGGAAGCTTTCCTCGCCTGCGCCGTGCACAAAAGATCACAGGCAAAAACTCAGGCTGATGATGTCTCTGTATTGTGATCTCAATTCTAACTGACTTTTCTCTATGACTGGTTGCAAATTTGCTCCTCTTCCGGTGACTGTTGGATAAAAGGCCCATGTGGATGAAAGCCCTCCAAGCAGTTCCCCTGACTGCTGTTTCTGTATGTAGGGTGACCACAGTTTGGGTTCACTCCAGCACTTGCCATGCGCCTACTCTGCTTGACACAGCCCAGAGGAGCAGACAAAAGATTTTACAGCTTCATCCCTGCCTGGCAGTAAGAAACAGTCTTAATGAGACACGGAGCTTTTCAAAGGCAAACTGAAACTGCGTATTTCACCTGGAGATCTTGTTAAAATGCAGATTCTGATTGAGTTGGTCTGGGGTGAGGATCTTCATGTCTAACAAGCTCCCAGCTGCTGCTGTCCATTACCATACTCTGAGCAGCGAGCGCGTACCATCCATCCTGCCACTGCCGTTTCTGATGGAAGCCTGCATCCCCTGGGCCAGTGACTACTGGGCACATACTCACTGAATACCTAACCCCTGGGAAGTGCTGGAATATGAAGGCAGGAAGCCACTGTCACTCCTCCCAGCAGGAGTGCACAGTGACAAAGCCAGCCAGGCTCCTGGCTCGATCCTGTGTGTGGGAGCAGACAGATGCCAGGAGGGCCTGAGCTCCTGGAAGGAAGTGTGTCGGACAGACTGTTAGAGGGGCAGGCGTTTCAGGGAGGGCAAACTGCACACATAAAGCAGGTACTCCTAGGTGAATCCTCCTAATATTGCCCTCACCAAACTAATTTTTCTTAAATACCATCATCGACATCTCGGTCCTTTGCTCAAAAGCCCACAAACTCCCTGATACCCTTACCTTGGTCACAATATAACTGGATTGTGAATGTTGCTGTTATCATGCCAACTCAAGTACAAACTCCGTCAAACCTGCACTATGACTTACAGAGCTGATGTATCCCTCACCTGGCAAAGCTAAACATATTCTAGGCCAGGGGTCGGCAAACTTTTGAGACCAAAAAGCCAATTCTGTCCCTCACAACAATTTAAAAATTATTCAAAAGCCATGAAACAAATGAAATCACCATTATGTGAATAATATCTTTTAAAAATTTTATAAATGAAACTATGGTAGTTTTATTTTCATTTTCAATTTTCCTTCAGAGCCACATGTACGTACCCAAAGAGCCACACGTGGCTCGTGAGCCGCCATTTGCCGACCCCTGCTCTAGGCACTTCGTAATGTTAAACGGAAACAGTTTTAAATCCCCCTTATCCTGATAGCAAGTATTCTGAAGGTATATTTTATTTCCAAACCGCTTCCTTAGGTCAAGAGAGATTTCCAGTGGACAACTTTCCTGAAGACTTCACAGGACATTGTATGTCTAATTAGCAACAAAGGAAAAATAACAAAGAAATCTTCCCAGAAACTATAGTGAATATTCAACATTTTCAATGCATTATCTGCCACTTTTTTCACATGAAAAATATATCCTTAGAATTAGCAACAAAAAGTGCCACAATTTAGTTTATGTGGTATAAGTATCATGTGCTCACGGACTGTGGTTCTAGATTTACAATCCCCAGCAATCAATAATGCGAATCAAGCCCTGAGCATGGGACTGGTTCACATCTCATAATATCCAAGTATGGAAAATGCTCTGAATAGAAAGTTTTGCCAAGAAAACTGTTTGCTCCTTTGTTTTCAAAGTTAATTTACTTAATGCCAAACAAACTTTTTATTATCTCCTAAGTTTTGGTCAAATCATAAAAAAACAAAGCTAATTAGGACTCCAGCTGACCTGACCTCACTAATCCTGATCCCTGGAGTCCGGCTGAAATGACTCCATGGCTTGGAATCCTCCAACACAGAGCCCTGAGTCTGTATTCCCGGCCCTGCTTGGAAGGTCTGTCACCAGGAAGGACTGCCGCTCGCCACCCTGAATGCCTCCTGCCCACATCATCTGGTGCTCACCTGACCACTGCTCCTCAATGGCTCGGATCTGGTCGCCTGTAAAGTTCCATGAACGGGCCAGCCTCTGCCACTCCTTGGCCTTCAGCTGACGGTAAGCCAGGTTCCAGAGGAGACTGCGAATATGCCGAGTCTCCTCACTGTGATCCTGCTTAAATGTCAGAGGAAAGCTGGTTGCTGGGTCCCTGATGCTCTCACCGTTCTTCTAAATTGAAAGTAATAGCATTAGATGATTTCAGACATTTTCTGCTTATTGTCTTACTGCAGAGAGGGAGAGAGAGAGAGAGAGAGAGAGAGAGAGTGTGTGTGTGTGTGTGTGTGTGTGTGTGTGTATTTATTTTATATATATATTTATTTATATATATTTATTTTTATATATTTTTTTCTTTTTCTCAGATATAACTGATAAGGTAGTAATCAAGACTGTTTTCAATGTTATCTGTCATTGGCTCATTTTTTTGTCATTCAAGATAGACACAAAATATCTGAAATAAAAATCTTGAGTACTCAGATGCAGAGAACAAACTGATGGTTACCAGATGGGCAGGGGTTGGGAAGCTGGGTGAGAAGGGTGAGGGGATAAGAAGTACAAATTGGTAGTTACAAATAGTCATAGGGATGTAAAGTACAGTATGGGCAATATAGTCAATAATATTGTAAAAACTATGTATAGTATCAGATTGGTGCTAGACATATCGGGGAGGGAAGGTCATTTCATAGGTTATGTAAATGTCTGACCACTATGCTGTATACCTGACATTAATATAAAATAATATTGAATGTCAACTATAATTCAAAAAATAATCACGGGGGTATGAAGTACAGCATAGGGAATATAGTCAATAATATTGTAATAACTATGTACAGTGTCAGGTGGGTAATATAGCTTTATTGGGGTTATCATTTTGTGAGGTATATAAATGTCTACTCTCTCTGTTATTTTATATACCTGAAACGAATAAAAAAAACTCTTGAGTAGCATCTGTCTGACACAAGAAATGTGAGGGATTTTGCAATGTAATCTCCCATGCTTCTGCCTCAACCTGCTACTGATATTTACCAACACCCAAAGAAAACAAACGGGACGCCTTCACTAAGGAAATGCCACAACAGCAAATGCACCTTTCATGGAATCGTCCTTCCTTACCTCTCTCCAGGCATAATACCGCTCTGCTTTTATGAGCATATCCACAACAAGGCTGTGGTTGCTCCTGGAGGCCACGGCCAGGGCAGTCCTCCCATGCTACAAGGTAAAATGAGAGTGTCAGGTGACATGGCCTTGTGGTTAGGAGCTCTAGCTTTGGAATAGGCCTGGGTTCAAATCCTGATCCTACTGCTTCCTTGCAGGGTGGACTTGGGCCAGTCCCTTAGCTTTTTCTGCATCTCAATAACTACCCCACGGTGTAGTGGTGAGGGGTCAATGTGATGATGCATGTAATGCCCTTAGGACAGTACACGGCACACGATCCAAGAGATGCCAGATATCGATGGTGTCTGGTGCTTTGTCTACTGGACAAGGAAAAGAGTTTGGGCTTAGGGACCCACAAGCAACAGATGACGTTTCACACATGCTCTATCATTGTGACCCCAAACATTTTTCCAGTACCCCCAGGAGTCTCCCTGGCTCATTGCACTGGAAAGTCCTCAACAAATGAATAACATGATCGTACATTTTTCTCCTCCAAAGGCTGACTCCACCTGTGGCAGAGGCTTTAGTCAATGTCCTATACTCCCTCCCCTCAATAGCTTTTTCTTTCATAGGAAGAGAACCTTTGGCTTTAACCAGGCACTTGGCCACCCCGAACATTTCCCAGCCTCCCTTGCACTTAGGTCTGTGACCTAAATTCTAGCGAACAGATGTACGTGGAAGCAGCACATGCAACTTCTGGGAAGTGTCTTTAAAAAGAGGAAGAATGTCATTCTCCTTCCTTTCCTCCTCCTCCAAAGTGGAATGCTGGTGTGATGGCAGGAGCTTGAACAGCCACTTTAGACCAGGAAGTAGAAGCCATGTGTTGAAGAGGGTGGAGTAATAGGACAGAAAAGGGACAGGGGGGGAAGTCTTATTAAGAATAGTGTCAATAATGACAACACTTCTAATTCATAGTACAGAATTCAGCTTGCTGGAATCCTAGCTAGAACTTTTTCTTTCTATTATATCATACTGCCTTTAACCAAGGGTGAGGGGTTGGAATCTTAACCAAATAGAATGATCAGTAAGGGCTGTTCTGGACATAATTTAGGCTTTGAGTGGCCTGGAGCCCATATGGTACCTTACACAAATTAAAAAGGCACACCTTTGTCAAGATGGATTATAGCTCAAAGCCCGAGCACACAGTTTTGCAAGCAGTGCCTCCTAGATCTTTATCCCCTAAATTTTATGCAGTGCACAATCTATATACCTATACATTTTTTTTTCCTGAGCAAAAGATGGTAGTTCTCACTGCTTTGAAAATGACCCATGAAAAATTTGCTCAAGGATCCTGAAGATAATTAAAATGAATGGTCAGAAATAACCCCAGAAGTTCCAATCTTAGGAACCCACGTTTCTATGCTCAGGGAATCCCAATAATTTTCTCACATGGCTGACTATTTGCAATTCCTACCAACCCAAATGATTTGGCTGTTGATCCAGGCACTAAGACCCAGGTGAGCCTAAACATTAGGGCTGAAAGTAATCAGTTTCTAATGAAAAGAGGCAGTAATGAAATTAGAAAGAACTGCATTTTGTAGGCATTTAGCAAGTCTCTAAGTGTACACTGTCTAAATTCTGGCTTGTAAAGCCATTTGAACCACCGTAATTAGCCTGTTTGGGGAAGGCAGCATTCTGAGAGCCAGGGTTTTCAAGGCTCATAGAAAACCTTCCCTGGGAGTGTATGCTGGAGTGGAAATCCAAATGCTTAGGCCCCTGAGGGTGGAAGGCCCTCAGGGAGCCTTGTGGCGAGGAGAGGTTTCTGGGAAAGTCAACTATCACCAAACCTTGGCTCCCTTCTCCTGTCCAGACCTTTAGTTCGTCTTACAAACAGTCACTGATCTGTGGTAAAAATCGTGGAAGCAGATAAGAAAAGGTAGTTTTCATTCATTAGTTAAATATGTACTGGGTGCTAACTACGTGCCAGATCCTGAGAGAAAGAGACAGTAGGAGAGGGAAACCTGGGGAAATCGATTTGTGAGGTTTAGTGAACTGGGGGCTTTTGTTCTGAAAACAAAGTCAAGTTGTAGCACTGAAGGTGTTTACTGAAATGTCCAGTCCGTTACCACCAGGGGTCCCAACATGAATTCCCTGCCCAATGCTATGGATTCTCTACCCACGAGACTGCCTGGGAGGTGTTAAGTATTAATGAAAAAGGACAACAAAGTATTTTTTTAAAGCGTAGAAAATAATAACGCTAAATATTAATACTAATGCTAAATGTTAACAGAAGTTAATGAGCCACAACTGGTGGAATCCCCACTGTCTTTAAAATCTCTGAAATCTTGTCTTGAAGAGCTGAATAGAGTGAAAGAGTAAAATCCATGACGTTACCTTATCAACAGCCTTCAGGTCACAGCCTGCCTTTAGCAGGGTTTCCACCATTTCCACATTTCCAAGATCAGCAGCTACATGCAAAGGAGTTTGCTGCCTCTGCCATGAGAAATTTCAAAAATGTAATCTAAACACTTTAAGAAGGGGAAAAACTAGTTTAGTGAAAAGACAAAGGGGAAATAGAAGCGTCCTGTATAGGCATAAGGGAAAATAGATAAGATCACATATTTTTAAGTGGGAACAGGGGACACTCACAGTCATATTATTTATGACAGTGAAAAACTGAAAGGAAGTTATATGTTTAAAAAGGAGACATTAGAGAAATTACGGTATTTCCACATATTGGAATAGAAGGCAACCATTAAAAATGACTTTTTAAAAAACGATTTCAATACGAGGCACCTAGAGTATCTAGTTCATAGAGACAGAAAATAGAATGGTGGTTGCCAGGGTCTGGGAGAGGAGGGAATATACAGTTATTGTTTAATGAGTATAGAATTCATTTTGGGAAGACAAAAGGAGTTCTGAAAATGGATGGCTGTGATAGCTGCACAACAATGTGAATGTACTGAATGCCACTGAACTGTACATTTACAAATGGTTAAAAAGGTAAATTTTATGTTATGTGTATTTAGCCACAATAAAAAGTGGTTTCAAACATTATTTTTAGAAATGAAAAAATACTTATTTAACAGTAAAATCCTTAGGAAACAACACTATATTTAGTGAGCTCAATTTACAGATGAATATATATATATAATATATATATATATATATATATATATGAAAATACATCAATGATATTAAGAATAATATCTAGATGGAGGGATTAGAGGTTATTTTTATTGCCTTCTTTATGCTTTCCTCTCTATTTTGTAATTTTCCTACATTGTAATGTATAAAGAAGTACAATACTTCTAATTTCTTTCTGGGATAATCATTTTTCTATCAAGGGGATTGAGAGTGTTTCAAAGAAATATATGAAATCACAAGAATATCACCATCTTAACCTCAGACCCAAAGTAATGCTGATATAAAGACCTTTCTAAAATATTAGGGCAAAAAGAACATTGGTTATGATCTAGTCCAACCCCTAAACCAGAGAGAAGGAGCAACTTCCCCAGGGTCCCACAGCCAGGCAATAGCATCTAGTGCAATACTCTTCCTACCAGAGCACAGAACCAACTCACTAGAGATGTTAGCATAATTAATATCAAAATGCATTTATTAAAGGTCCACTTTTGGGTGGCAATGTGCCCCTCAGGGGGCTCATCATCCAAAATGGGCAAAAAGAAGACACACTTAATACTGACAACCTATTAAAGTTCTATACCAACACGGAATAGAGAGACACAAGTGTAATACGTCAAACACCAATGAAATCTCATTGTCAAAATGCTGCTCCAAGTCTAGAAAGGCAGGAAAGGCACCAAAATGTTAACAAGAATTCTCTTTATTTAGGGGGATTACAAACTACAAACAAATTGCAAGTTTTTAGCTTATTTATGTTTTCTTATTTTTATGCATTGGTCTAACAAACAAGTTGAAATGATAAAGTCTAGTTCTATAATGGGATGGTATCCTAACATACCGTCCTTCTCTGGCCAATTCTGGTGAAATGGAAATCACACCTGAGTTCTGCCTGTGTATGCAGCAAACAGTCCACCCATTAGGAAAGGCTGGGGGCATCAGTGTAGCTGAACACCTAAGTATATTTAATAACAAGAGGGGATTTTCTTCCTCCTAGCTTTTGGGATAGTAAAAGATGGAGGAGGAAGAAGGACCCTGGGAAACGAAGGGACAGAAGAGGAGGAAAGTCTCCATTCAGCTCAGGGCATGAAAGACCTCATAGGAGGAGACTGCAGAGATCTGAGCTGTGCTCTGGTTTCACAGATGAGAAATTGAGGACTACACAGTGGGTTAGAAAGCACACCCACCACACCTGGCTGTTTCCCACCTGGAGGGTACAGCTGAGGCTTCTGCACCCTGTGACCAGAAAGGCAAGAGTCCAGAGGTCTCATCTGTCCTCAGGATTCAGGAAGGGCTCCTCTCCCCAGGGTTTCTCTTTCCAACTGCTCCTGGGAGTGGGCAGCCTAGCCAGAGAGCAGGCCCTCATTCAGGGAGTGCCCACCCCCATCTGCTTTATTCTCCCATCTCAGCATTTCCATTTCCAGCCAGTGATGAATTCCTCCTACGAGGCGTTTGATTCTGCTCCAGTGGACTGAATTCATGGTGATTGTTTTTTTTTTTCAATTGGGGAATTGGGGAAAGGGGAACAGACAAGTTGCTGTCCTTTTGTTCTTCAGTCTAGTTGTGGAGGATGTTGCTTCACTGGCCCAAGTTGGCACCATCATTGCGCTCTTCCTGGGCGAGGCAGATCAGTCGCTGGCCTCTGGATGGCCGCTCACTGTGGCTGCTGGCCGCTCCCGCTGGCTGCTGGCTACACACTGTAGCCCATGGCAACCCACTGCAGCAGGGGTTGCAGCCTACGCCGTCGCCGGCGACTCACAGCAGCCCAGCTCCAGGTTGAGCTGTTGTTCAGCATCTTAGCTGCAGAGGGCAGTGTCACTGGCCCTCATATGTGGGATCTGAACCAGGGCCCTCTGGCGCCCCAAGCCAGCTCTTAACCATCGCGCCACTCGGCCAGCCCATCATGGTGATTTTTTTATTGTAAGATTTTGCCTTTGGGCAAAAAGAAGACACACTTACTGTCTACAATATAGACACAAAGTTCCTTCAGCAAGGAACTTTGACATGACAACATTTCATAGTGGAGGAGTGGCTTGTGATTTAAGGAGCCTCTGGCAATTTACCTATGAGCTACTGTTTATCATAAGTGCTGGGCCTTTTAAAGGAATGCAGTGATTGAGCCCTAGTTTTGTGTGAGTTTGAAAAAGAGAAAGTATTTCTATGCAAATGGATGTAGGGATTGGGGGGGGGGAGGGGCAGGAAGGATAAAAGGAATGCACATTCCTCCCAGGAAATTTTAGAGCACCTTGAACTTGATCAAAACTACCCCTAAACACACACTGCATTGAAACATAAGAAAATAGGCTCTCCAGGTTCTGACTTGCTTGGCTTACCTGATTTAAGATGTCAATATCATGCTGTGCACTTAATAAGCTGTTTACTACTGTGATATGGTTGTTGATAACAGCTAAATGAAGAGGGGACTCCTTAGGCTGCAGAAAGAAATGAACATTTAAAATCCAAAACATTCTGACTTCATCATTCCGATGAAAAAGTGACTCATTTCAGCAGGCATTTCCCGATAATCTCCTGGATACTGAACTTGCCAAGCAGGGCGGCAGGCCTACAGTAAGTGTGCAGCAGTCATTTCCATCTCAAGGCTGTGCAGCAAACCTGCTCCCCCCGCAATCAGCCTTCCCGCTTCATTCGTTCCAGAACTACACACTGAGCACCTGCTGTGGGCCAGGCTCTGTTCAGGAGGCTAGGGGCTGAGCGGTGAACATGGCTCATTCTCAAGAATCTTCCAATCTAGCAGGGTAAGCAAATATTAACTGCTTTTTTGAAATCACAAACTAAACACAGAATTACAAAGTGTAATAAGTGCTTTGGAGGAAAAGTAGTAGGATGTGGTATGAGAGCCTATGTGGGGGTCGGCAGAGGGCCAGCCTTTCTGGAGGTCAGAAAAGGCTTTCCTGAAGAACTGACAATTGCACCCAAATATGAAAGATAAGAAAGTACTAAATAAGTTTAACTGCAGGACTTCTCAGCGCCTTCAAAGACCTACAGCACAGTAGGAAGAGCCACAGGAGGAAAGAACATTCACATTCACCATTTCCTGAACTGATCTGATCTCAAGCTCTCCCCACTCACCCAGGGGCACCAGTCTCATGCTCAGCCCGCCCACCTATATACAGAGTCCAGTCACGAAGCACTCGCCAAGCCCTTGCGGCCTGCTCCCCTTTCCTCCTTGTTTGTGGCTAAAACACTGTCTTCCAGCCACACCCCAACACTCTCACCCATCTCCACCTTACACTTCTTACCCAGCCCTCCAAGCTGCACTGCCCGCCCCATGATCATACACTTGGCCTCCTGCAGCCTCACGCCCACCCAGCTGCCACTGGCCCCTGGACGCATGAGAGAAAACATGCCCCGGAGAGGGCAGAGAAGGCAGCTGAGAGGGGGTTAAATAAATAAATAGATACAAGGGTGGGGAGAATACAGTTAAGGTGTGACAGACAGTAAGATTAGGGGCATCCAGTGGGGAAGGAGAGGGGGAAGGAGACAGGTGTGAAAGTGCCAGAGCGGGAGATCCAGCGAGACTGCTGGAGAACAGCAGTTGCGCTGAAAAGCGAAGTGAGTGGAGGGAGGGAACGCAGATGTGTGTGAGGGTGGGTGATGAGGACAGGGTGCAGTTTTGCTCAAGTGGAACAGATGATGTTAATAAACATCAGTTATAAGCATCCCACGTAGTCTTATAATGGTACTTACCATGTAGTCATTCCCCCCAAGAGTGTATAGTACTCTGTTTTAAACACAGTTTTTCATTCACAATAACCCTAGCAGTTAGGTCTTCTAGTCCCCACGTCACATGAGGCAGAGAGAGGTTAAATAACTTCCACCAGGCATCAGAGCTAGGCAGTGGCAGAGACAGGATTTGAACCCATATCTTCCTGACGCCAACATCAGCACCAGGCTCCTTCCCAGGAAACGGGGGTAGATCGATGCAAGAGAGATGTGGTGAGTTGGCAGGGTATCACCAGCACACGAGGAAGAGGGGAGGAGGGGGCAGGTAGGATGCGTGAGTCAGGCTGTCTGAGGGTGAGCAAGGGATGGGAGACAGACGGGGCTGGACATGGAAGACGGTGTGAGGGGAAGGCTTTCTGTGCAGGCCCCTTCTGCTCAAGAAGAATCCTGTCTCCTGAGGCACTAAGCATGAAAAAAAAAAGGAAGTATCTCTCCTCTCAGGGAACTGGGCAGTGTCCTTCCTGCTGGGACCACCAGCCTTGCTGGGCCCTAGCTCCTCCTGAGAAACAGGAAGCATCCTTGGATGGACCAGGCAAACTCAGAGCCAATTCCCCTAACACCATTCTCCAAAACCTACCAGTCATGGCTTAAATCACATCCCTTCTCTTGAGTTAATATAATAAATAGTCATGGAAAAGCAAGATCAGAGGAAATAATATTCTCACAGGAGAAAAGAAAATAAGAGTAAAACATAGAGGAATGTTTCCCATTTAATTTCAGCACAGAGAACCTTTGTTAATTCTACCAAAGCCAATTCAAACTTCAGAAAACCTAAATCAGCATAAAGGATTGGCTTTCAAAAGAAAAACATGATTGCTCAGTGAAGAGAAAAAATTATCATTCTCCTTCCTATTGACAGCCGCTTCATCATTTTCCCAGACTGATAAATTTAATACAAGAATAATGGCATTTCTAGACACATGAGAAAGTTTTATTGCAGCAAATACAAATATTTAAAACACAAAGACTTCATTTTGTTCAGGAACTTCAATGACTTTCTAAAATTCATCCCTCGGATTTTATTTCTCAAGATTAAAACTGTCTCCAAAAGAAGGCAGCTGGCCATCCCACAAAGAATTCCTCCTTTGTGAACACCTCATTTCCCCCACCCCACCCCACCCCACCCCACGTATCTGTATCTGTGAGGAGCTTCTCCTAGCACAGCTAGCCTCACAGGACCAGGATCAAAGACCAAGTTACTGGAATAGACTCACTTTCACTTTCATGTGCAAATCGACGTTCTCACTGAGAAGAAAGCTGACAAGGGACGTGTGGCCATTCTGGGTTGCCATCTGCAAAGCGCTGATATTGAGCTGCAAGAGACAGGTGGAGCGGGCACAGAGTGATTCCCATTAGAATCCAGCACGATTTCTGGTGTTCACCACATAGCAATCAATGAAATAGTATGACTATTTAATAAAGAAAATCCCACATGTTTCTAATCATTTTGCGGGGGGGTTCTTTGTTGCTTCTAAGTGTCTCCCATGAAAGAGTCAGAGTTCTAGGTAACACAGGCCTCAGGCAAATATGAGTTAAAACCCTGTTTCTTTTCTCCAGGAATCTGAAAGACTAGGGCCAAGTCTTCTCTTTATACACCCTGAAAACACCCTCCTTGAGCCAAAATAGCTAACTTGGTATTGGTCCCCAGAAACGCCTCAGCATTCTCCTGCCTCCCTGTTTACTAGCAGCGCTCCCCTTTGCCAGGTATGGCTTCAAAGCTTAGTGTGATTGCAGTGTTCCCTCGGCCCTTTTACTCAACTCCTTTAGCACCTCCTCTCTTTCACTCTGCTACCAGCTGCCTCCTACAGCTCCCTGTGCTCAGATGTCTTCACTCAGTGCCCATGCTAGATGCCAAACTGCTTTAGGTCAAGCCCTGCTTGTGATTATCCTGCCATCCTCCAAATGGCCTGGCATGGTGCCTTGCAATAGTACAAGGTCAATGAAGTTATTGATTGATTCATCGTAAGATTGCTACAAAGTAATTTCAGTTCCTCCAAATAAGGGTGCTGCAGGATATTACGTTTTCCTAAAATGGCTGCATAAGTATCGCCCATACTACATGCTCTTCTAAAATGTGACCCTTCCATTCCTCCATCAAGCTGTGGAGTTTATTCCTTCACCCCGCTTGAATCTGGGTGGACCCAGTAACTGCTTTGACCAACAGAATATGGCAGAAGTGACATTGTGCCAGTTCCAGGTACGGCCCCCACCTCATGGAAGCCATGCTGTGAGAAGTCCAAGGCATAGGGAGACACCACATGTTGGTGCTCTCGTCAAGAGCCCCAGCTGACAGCTGGCCCCAACTGCCAGGCACATGAGTGAGTAGATGTCCACGTCAGTTAAGCCTTCAAGTGACTCAAGTCCTAGCTGACTGCCTAATAGACTCAAAGTTAGAATCTCCCCGCTGGGCCCAGTCAACCCTCAGAACCATAAAAGATACTAATACATTGTCTTAAGCCACTGCACTTTGGGTTGGTTTGTTGGTTTGTTATGAAGCAATAGATAAGCGGAACAGATGCTAACAGGAATGATACACACTCTGACCAACTGGAGTCTAGCTTGGGCTGATACTAAATGCCTATATGACGTTGGATAAGTGGCCTCTCAAGTATGGAATGCTTTATCTTACTCTGTAAAAATGATATTACCACCTATATTAGTTTTCTATTGCTGCTAATAACAAATCTTACTGTTCTGGGAGTCAGAAGTCTGAAATGGGTCTCACTGGGCTAAAATAAAGGCTTTTCTGGAGGCTTTCATGGGAATGCATTTCTTTGCCCTTCCCAGTTTCTAGAAGCCACCCACATCCCTTGGCTCATGGCCCCCTTCCTCCATCTTCAAAGCCAGCAACGGTGCGCCGAGTGCTTCTCACGTTGCCTCCCTCTGAACTCCTCGCTTGCCTCCCTCTTCCACTTTAAAGGGGCATTGTGACTACGTTAGGCTTGCCTGGATAGTCCAGGACAATCTCATTTTAAGGTCAGATGATGAGCAACCTTAATTCCATCTGCAACCCAAATTCCCCTTTGCCATGTAACGTAACATATTACAGGTTTCAAGGATTACGATGTGAACATCTTTGGGGGCCATGGTTCTGCCTATCATACCACCCTACCTCTTTCTCTCAAGCCATAGCAATACCAGGATAATAAATGAACTAGTAAATGTATGTGGTAATCACAGCTATCATCTTATTCATGCCACAGAAAACTATTAAACACTTATTATGTGCCAGGCACGATGATAGATAATGAGGGGATATGACTAGACTGATAAGATCTCTCGTATTATATTCTAGTGGCAGTGGACTACCAATCGATCTATCGGTTGGTACATTGGTAGATCAGTAAATCTGTCCATTTAGAGTAAATTTATTAGAGTCCAGATGTTATTAAAGGAATGTTATCAGCTAGTGATGAGTGCTACAATAAGACATAAAATAGCATGACTGAACGGATACTTTCAGTGAGTGATCAAAAAAGGTTTCTTGCATATGGTGACATTTACATTGAGATCAGAATGGTAAGAAGTACCCCTGCCCCCCATGGGAAGATCTAAAGCAGAAACAAGTTTGTGAAGAACCCAAAGCCAGGAACCCTACAGTAGGAATAGCTGTGAGTCTGTGGCATTTTACCCATGAGGCACTGCAGGCACAGTGTATAGGGTCTACAGCCTTTTTAAAGCCAAAGAAATATTTGAAATCTTAAAAAAAAAAAATTGGTTCCAAGATACCAAAAGAAAACCACAAAATTGAAGTTAATAAATATTTAAATGACATATTCATACTTCATTGATTGTTAAATGTAATAATCATAAAATATTCATTACATTTGTAAACAATTTGTAGGTTATATTTTTTCACCTTCCTCAAATTCCTAAGTACGAATAGAGGTCTAAGAAATCAGTCAATCTTAAATTAGGGGTGTTTATCATATCCAAATAACTGTGAAATCACAAATTTAAAAAAACATTTTTTTTAATAATTTATAGGGAAAAAATGTATTTAACATGGAAGTGAGAGTACTTCAATATGTTTGATAAGAGGTGATGGCAGAAATATGAATTCTTAGGATCTATAAACATCTTCACTAGACCCAGGGTAGTTAGTACAGCCCTGAAGAGAGCAGACTGCCCAAAGTCTGGGCAGTCTCTCCATCCAGCACTAATGGAGGAAGTCCACCAACAGCTAAATCCATAATCTACTTAAATGACCTCCTCAGAAATGACTCAACCCTTTACCAGCCCTCTTGGTTGGGGGTGGGGACACAAAAGCAATCTCCTGGGGACAAAGACTAATCAATGTCAGTAGATGACGCACTTCCAAGATCAAACACCGTAATCAGCTACAGATGTGAAAGCAAAATGAGTCTAGCAGTTATCTCAGCGATAACGTGCATCTACCCTGCTAGCTTCTTGCTTCACACTGCTTGTTTCTCCGGGGTCCTCCCTGGGTTGCGTGGAGACAGGCATGGACCGCCAGTGAGAGCTGAGGCTGTAAATCCAGGAATTGTGCTAATAAACTCAGGGGGAAAAACTCAAGATAATGTAAAAGCTGAAAAATCGACCCAGGACAATTTCCAAGCTGCCTAGTTGAGGCAAAGGCCATAAAGATATGGACAATGTGGAGCCTGCAGTCTTAGTTGGGTGGGGAGTCTGGGAGCCTATGAAAGACATTACAAAGCAAAACCCCTCAAAGGGCCAAATAATTAAGTGCAGAAGGGAGGGAGGGCACAGAGCAATGGAGTGAGCCAAAAGGAGTGAGCCGAAGAGGATCTTGCTGAACCAGGGAGGCCTTGCCAAGGACTGGAGGCTGTGGACTGGGGGCAGGGAGGCACCTGTGCAATATCAAAAAACAGCACAGCTCTGCACATTCTGAATATTTCCTGGGCCCCATTCTTAACTTTGTGTTCATTTATTGAATAAATAACCTTGCAACATCAGTGGGAATCACCTCATACTGTCTTCGTTTTCCACACTCTCTCACAATCTTGTTGTATACATAAATTTTAAATAGTGAAAATATATGTATAAACACATATTGTTTTTTTCAATTAGTGTTCTATCATGAACATTTTTCTATATTGTAATATATTTAGTATTTTTATGAATTTTTTTAATGGCTACATAGCTTTTCAAGAAATAGGTGTACCAAGCCTTGATTCAGCTTTCCCCTCCCAGCCACTGCACTTTTAGGTTGTATCTGATTCTTGGCTACTGGGGGTAACTTTAACATCTCTCTAAATGCATGCTGCTATCCCCCCATCACCTTTAGACTATTCCCTCAACATAACTACCCAAACATGGGTGAAGGAAAAGTGACAAACTGCTTTTCAAAAGAAGTTAAACAAATGTATAAACAATTGTAGTCTGCCAGCAGAACCCAAGGGTATAAGATATTACCAGTTTGGGGCTTTATTCTTGATTCTACCTTCTGAAGAGGAACTGTTTATACATTGTGCTGATATGGAGGGATCGCCATGGTATATCGGCAAT